GTTAGTTAGTTAGTTAGTTAGTTAGTTAGTTAGTTAGTTAGTTAGTTAGTTATATATGTATGATATGTATGTAGTCCGATCTATATGCAGATCTATATCCTGATTAATATGCTGCTCTATAGACTGTTCTGTCTGACTTATTGACTGTCCTATAGTGTAATCTATAGACTACTCTATAGGCTTAGCTCAATACTGATCTGAAGGGTGGACTATATTCTGCTCTATAGACTGATCTGTAGGGTGGACTATATTCTGCTCTATAGACTGATATATAGTCTGATATATAGACTGGTCCAAAGACTTATTTATATACTAGTTTATAGTCTACTATTTAGAATGCTCTTTAGTCTGATCTATTAGATGATCTATAGACTGATCTTTAAATGGTCTATAGTCTAATCTATAGACTGTTCAGTAGACTAGTCGATAATTTGACAAGTCTATAGTGTGATCTCGAAATAGAGTACGATCTTAAATGTAATCAACCAAATAAGTTTCAAATAATGAATCAAATTAAGCACCATCGAGCATGATAGACATAATCCGCAACTGAACCCATTCAATAACATCTGTTCACATACGAACCATATACCATAAATAAAGATTTTTAAAATTTATACAATTCTTTTTTATTACTTTGCACTTTTGTATAAAAAGTGTGAACCCCACCCACTTAAACGAAAAGTGTGTATAAACGTTTTTCTATAGATGAGAAAAAAAGAAATGGAAAATATTTTGTTGTCTACAATGCATTTATTGTCAAAAAAAAAAGAAGACAAATATAAAAACTTTAAATATTTTTATAGTTTATTGTATTGTGTGCAAATAACACAAAAAATTTTAAAAATATCAAACAGAACAGTGAAAACTATGAATGGATGTAAATCTATCAAGAGGAGACAATAAATCCTTTTTATTATAAAGTCATAGGAACGTTTTGTGTTTGTTACATTTGGACAATTTCAGTTTGATAAATCGAACGATTTTTAGTGCATACTTAGCCTCCATTATTGAAAGCTTTTACTGTATATACTGCAAAAATGATGTTCAAGTTTTATTTTTTGTATTAAAATAAAAGAACTGATAGTTTTTACTCTTAATTGTTTTTGTTTGTTATTTTTTGTGCAAGTGTGTTGAGTCGTTTATTTGTTCATTTGTTTATTTATTATTCTTTTTATAAAATATTTTTTTTTTTTAATATTTTTATAGAAATTCTTAATCAATATTATTTTTGTTTATGTGCATTAAATTAAAACTTTATTAAATTGTTTTTTATTGGAATATGAAAATTTGCTAGATGCCACAGAACTGTTTGCAAAGCAAATTAAATTAAGTTTATTAAAAAAAAGTACATAATATGATTTTAGGGATTTTCAGTTAAAAACTGTTTTAAATAATTGATTAAAAATATATTTTAAATGTTTTTTTATAAAAGGGGAAGAGGAATGAATACCTTGAATATTGTTTACATTCCCTAAGAAATTTGAAGATTATTGATCAATCAATTGTCTGATCTATACACTAGTATGACCTATCCTGATCTATAGACTGGTCTACACCTGTCTGTTGTGTGATCTATAAATTAGTCTGTATATTGATCCACAAATTTATATATTTACAGGTTTATAGCTTGTTTACTAGATTGGTCTATATTCAGATCTATAGACTGATCTACAGTCTGATATATGTATATATTATTCCATTGCCACTCTGCGCATTCTGATATCTATAAATAAATATTAGATCGATCTATAGTTTTATCTATATACTGATCTACAGTTTTATCTAAACTCTGGTCCATGGTCTGAAGGCTGGATAACAGTTTGAGTTAGAAATAGATCTATTGTATATCATATAGTCTGATATATGGACTAGTATGATCAATAACTTGATCGATGCACTGATCTATAGTTTGGGTTAAGTACTGATCTGAAGTCTCGTCCTAGGTTTATAGTGTGATCTATTATCTTTATCTGATCTATAGTAAGATCTATTTTGATCTATTGACTAGTTTATAGTCTATAGTCAGGTCTAAAGTCTGATCTGTGGACTGGGTTATATACACTATAGAGCAGTCTAAAATGTGATGATATATAGTCTCATCTACAAATTGTTTGACAGTTTTATCTGTTAACTTCTCAATAGTTTGATATACGGATCGGTCTAAAGATTAGTCCATTTGATGTATATACTGGTCTATAGTCTGATCTACAGACTAGTCTATAGTTATATATAGACTGGTATATATTTATATAATGTTTGATCTATTCACTGGTCAATAGTCCGATCTATAGACTGGTCTACAGTACGGAACTTAGACCAGTCTATAGATAAGATTATAACCAAGACTGATAATTGCCAATAGCCGATACTTTTCTATAGTCTGATCTAAAGACTGATCTATAGATTGGTCTATAGGCTGAACTATATACTGGACTGTAGACGGATCTACAAACTAGTTTGTAGTCTGATATATAGATCTGAAGTTTCATCCTAGGTTTAAAGTGTGGTCTATTAAGTTGTCTATAAAATAATCTATAGTGTAATCTATCTAAATTTTGATCGATAGACTATTATATAGTCTGATCTATACACATGTATCATACTAAATCTGAGTAAATATTGTAAATTTATTAGAAATCGATCTGTAGTCTAATATCGAAACTAATCTATGGACTAGTCTAACCACTAACTTGATCGATGCACTGATCTATAGTTTGGGATAGGTACTAATCTGAAGTCTCACCTCAGATCTATAGTGTGATCTATTAAGTTGTCTATAGAATAATATATAAACTGAACTATAGTCTAAGCTATAGACAGATCACACCTATATTTTGATTGATAGACTAGTATGATCTATACACATATATGATTTGAAATCTGAGTAAATATTGTATATTGATACTTATCTGAATATGTTTTAAAGTTTCGTATAAAATGGTCATAAATATTACCTGAAATGAAAAAGAAAATAAAAAATTTTTAAATATTTAATTTAATTTATTATAATTATTATAGATTCAGTTACATCAGTAAATTTATTTAAAAATAAGAAAAAGTATAGAAAAATAATATAAAAAAACCCTCGCATGTAAATCTATTATAAAACAGTTCATTTATTTAAATTAAATAAATTGTTTATGTTTTAAAACAGTTTCAATGTATAAAAAAACAAAATTTACTATTTTCTTGTTTTTCCTTGATAATGATAGTGAAAACAAAAACTTTTCTTTAACAAAATTTTTACAATTTTGTTTTTACTACACATGCACATGCATGCATTTACACTAAAACAGAAACTTTTTTGTAATAAAACTTATTTGTGAAAAAAAAATATGCAAAATATTTATTCTTTTATACAAATTTAGCAGAAAATGTAGGAAGAAAAAACGACAATTACTTTTAATGTAGTTAAAAAGTTTTCATGTTAAAAAAAAAGAAACGTATTAAATAAAAAGTAAAACTGTGATAAAAAGTCATCAATTTTATAACAGTTTGTTTTTTTTTAAGAACTACATGAAGGAAATACTATTTGAGGTTAATGTCGACTAAAAACGTAATGTAGTACCGAGGAAGATGATCAACTTCAGTCTGATCTATAATATGATATTTAGATAAGCCTGAGCTAAAGACTAGTCTATATTTGGATCTATAAACTGGTCAATAGTCTGATCTATAGACTACTCTAGAGAACGAGACTGATATAGACTAGTCTGGGGGCTGATCTGTTGTTTAGTCACTAGTCTAGAGACTGCTCTATAGACTAGTCTAGAGACTGATTTATAAACTAGTCTAGAGTCAGATCTATAGACTAGTCTAGACTCTGATCTATAGACTAGTCTAGAGACAGATCTATAGACTAATCTAGACTGTGATTTATATACTAGTCTAGAGATTCATCTATAGACTAGTCTAGAGACTGATGAATAAACTAGACTAGTGACTGATCTATAGACTAGTCTAGAGACTGATCTATAGACTAGTCTAGATACTGATCTATAGACTAGTCTAGAGACTGACCTATAGACTGATCTATAGACTAGTCTAGAGACTGATCTATAGAGTAGTCTTGACTCTGATTTATAGACTAGACTAGACTTGTGTACAGACTGATCTATATACTAGTCTCGGAACTGATCTCTAAACTAGTCTAGAGACTGATCTATAGACTAGTCTAGAGACTGATCTATAGACTAGTCTAAAGACTGATCTATAAACTAGACTATAGACTGATCTATAAACTAGTCTAGAGACTGATCTTTAAACTAGTCTAGAGACTGATCTATAGACTAGTCTAGACTCTGATCTATAGACTAGTCTAAAGACTAACCTATAGACTAGTTTAGAGACTGATCTGTAAACTAGTCTAGAGACTGATGTATAGACTTGTAGATAGCCTGATCTAAAGACTAGTAGGTACACTGAACTTTAGACTAAAATCCGATCTGTGGACATCTGATCCAAAGACATCTCTAGAACTTGATCTATAGGCTAGTGATTGATCCATAGAATAATCTATATTCTGATCTATAGAATAGTCGATCGAATGGTCTATATATGTATATATAGTATTGTCAATAAATTAATCAGTAGACTGATCTCTAGTCTAGTAATTAATATATAAAGTATTCTATCTATATTTTCTAAAGATTTATAAAGTACTAAAGGGACTGAACCATAGTCTGATGTAAAAAGTAGTCTAAAATTGATCGATAGACTTCTTTAGAGACTGATCTATAGCCTATTGACTAGTCAATAGTCTTACTAACAGACTAGTCGATAGACTGGTAGTCTGATCTATAGACTTTATAGCTTTGTCTGCATACTGATCTATACTAGAGACTTATCTATAAACATACTAGTCCATAAATTGATCTATGGTCTCTATAGTCTGCAAATAATTCTGTAAATTCCAATCATTCTAAATCGGAGCATCCCCAACAAACGGTTGTGATGTAATGCCATTAAATATTTCAAATAGAAAAACTAAAACTCACCTTAACAACATGCGAACGTTTCTCATAATCAATCATGGAAGTATTCTTGTCACTTATAACAAGAACAAAAGGAGACGGAGGAGTTAAGGCCGCCAGAGAAGACGACTCGGATGTGGAGGAAGTGGAAGTAGAAGGTGTAGTTGATAGGGAAGTAGAATCTAAAACTTGATTTAACAAATCATTATCAATGATACTCGTTGTTGTCGTAGAAGAAGATGAAGAGGAGGAGGAAGACTCAATCGCATTGATTTCCTGTATTTGTAAACTGTCAATATTTCTTTCATTCGTTATGATTTTGTCATTTTGCCAGAAACCCTTTGCACTAGAATCTACATTTGCAACAGTTTCGGTTTGTCTTAAAGCAGCCTTTGAGTCCAGTGTTGATGTCGTAGAAGGAGTAGCAAATGACTGTTGCTGTTGTTGTTTATTATCCACATTAATATTCGACATCATGCCAGTCTCTTTATCATATCTATAAATATTTTTGGGATGATTTTGTTCATAATTTGTAATATCTCCTGCCATAAGTCTCTCCTTGTCATGACTGTTGCTGTGACTGCTGGCATTGTCTTCATAATCTTGTGATGCCTCATGATGATTATTTGGTGACATACTATCGCTAGCAACTTTTTCATTTAAACGTATGATATTTGATAAATTGATATTATTGATGAGTGTTATGCCGCATATGGCCACCAATATGATGACAAAGCATATGCCACCAATTAAAAATATGGGAGCTTTTGAATTTTTTGGACACATTTTTGTTATTTTTTTTTTTTGTAGATGGAGCGGTATCTTTAACTTTTTTAATTAAATTGGAATGTATTGTTGTGGTTGTTTGTTTGATTTTTGTTGCTGTCTTTTTTTTTTTGTTTTTGTTTATTTATTATTTTATCACAATTTCATTTAATTTACAACTTTTGCGTAATTTAATTTAAATTTGTTTGTTTTTGCTTTTGTTGTTACTGCTATTTTATTCTTTTTTTTTTTGTATTTAAATTAAAAAGTTTTCTTATTGTTTAGAGCAAAAATTATTTACTCAAGTATTTGTTTTGTAATTTTAAATGGGGCCTCTGTATTTAATTTAAATGTTTTTATTTCCTTTTTACAAAACTTACACTAAAACACTTATTCAAACATAAATAAATTAGTACATGTGTATTTGTGTATGTATGTGTATTTGTGTTTTGAGAAATAGCTGCGAGTGCTCTTCACACATTTTCTCATTATTTTGGTTTTAAGCTCGAATTTTTTTTTATAACATACATATTTACTTGTTGTTGTTTTATTCCTATTTCTGTTGACAAACACAACAACTCAAGTTGTTGGTTTTATTCCAAACCTGAAGTACTACTTTGTTTTAAGTGAAAATTTTATAAAAATAGTACGGAAATCTATGTGAAAAAGTTTAATGAGCATTACGCATACAAGTACTTAAAACACACACTCGCACACCCGCATCCTTTCAAACTAACGGTTACTTAATTACATGCACGCATACTAATAAAAACATATTTAGAGCACTGGAAAAAGCTTCACTAATTCAAAAGAATTTTTATAAAACGAGTGAAAAGGGAACATTTAGAAAAATTTTTACAAAGATTATAAAATTTCTTTTCTATAAAAAGAAAATCTTTCTAGAAATTAAAAAAAATATATCAAAAATTCTGAAAATTTTCTATAAAAAGAGAAGTTTTTCGAAAAAAAATCTATAAAAAAGAGAAATTTATGAAAACTTTCTATAAAAAAGAAAAAATTTACAAAAATTTTCTATAAAAAAGAAACTTTTTACGAAAATTTTCTATAGAAAGAAATTTTTCCAAAATTTTCTATAAAATTGAGCAATTTTACGACAATTTTCTATAAAAAGAAAAATTTTACGAAAATTTTTTATAAAAAGAAAAATTTTACGAAAATTTTCTATAAAACAAACTTTTTTTAAACAATTCTATAGAAAAGAGAAATTTCCCAAAAATTATCTATAAAAAAATAAATTTTCCGAAAATTTTCTATAAAAGAAAAAAATTTCCCGAAAATTTTGTAAAAAAAGAGAAATTTTCCCAATATTTTCTAAAAAAAAAAATAAAGAATTTTCCAAAAATTTTCTATAAAAATGCGAAAATTTCATAAAATTTTCTATAAAAATTCGAAAATTTCATAAAATTTCTATAAAAATTAGGAATTTTCCGAAAATTCTCTATAAAATAAAATAAAAAGAGACGTTTTTCTAAAAATTTCTACAAATAAAGAGAAATTTTCCAAAAATTTTCTATAAAAAAGAAACTTCTTTTGAACATTTTCTATAAAAAAGAGAAATTTCCCGAAAACTGTTTTAAAAAAAGAGAGAAATTTCCCCAAAATTTTCTATAAACATGAGCAATTTTTTTCCTATAAAAAGAGACATTTTCCGAAAATTATCTATAAAAAGAGAAAATTTCTGAAAATTTTCTATAGAGGAGAAAAATTTCCCGAAAATTTTGTAAAAACAAAAAAAAAAGAGAAATTTTCTCAACATTTTCTAAAAAAATTAAGAATTTTCCTTAAATTTTCTATAAAAATGAGAAAATTTCCCAAAATGTTTATAGGAAATGAAAAATTGTTCGAAAATTTTCTATAAAAATGAGATATTTTCAATAAATAAAAAGAGAAATTTTCCGAAAATTTTCTATAAAAAAGAGAAATTTTCCGAAAATTTTCTATAAAAAAAGGGAAATTTTCCGAAAATTTTCTATAAAAAAAGGGAAATTTTCCGAAAATTTTCTATAAAAAAAAGGGAAATTTTCCGAAAATTTTCTATAAAAAAGGGAAATTTTCCGAAAATTTTCTATAAAAAAAAATTTTCCGAAAATTTTCTATAAAAAAAAATTTTCCGAAAATTTTCTATAAAAAAAAGGGAAATTTTCCGAAAATTTTCTATAAAAAAAGGGAAATTTTCCGAAAATTTTCTATAAAAAAAAGGGAAATTTTCCGAAAATTTTCTATAAAAAAAAGGGAAATTTTCCGAAAATTTTCTATAAAAAAAAGGGAAATTTTCCGAAATTTTTCTATAAAAAAAAGGGAAATTTTCCGAAAAATTTCTATAAAAAGAGAAATTTTCCGAAAATTTTCTATAAAAAAAGGGAAATTTTCCGAAACTTTTCTATAAAAAAGAGAAATTTTCCGAAAATTTTCTATAAAAATTTGAAATTTTACGAAGATTTTCTAACAAAGAGAAGTTTTCTATAAAGAGACAAATTTTGGGAAAAAATATTTTTTAAGAAAACTTTCTATAAAAAATTGACATTTCGCAAAAATTTCCTTTAAATGATAAATTTTCCAAACAATTTTCTAAAAATTAGAGAAAATTTCAAAGATATTCTTTTTGTTTAAATATTTATTGAAATTATAATTTCTTTTCCATACGTTCCCTCTCTCTTTTTATTTATCTATCCACTTAAGTTAAATAATTAAAATTGTGTTTTTAATTGACTTGTACTTCAAAGTGAGGAACACGAAAACACGCTTGCTTTTGTTTAAAATAGCAAATACTCATTTAATTAAGTCAAGCGCAGAATTAAAAGGTGTAACAAATTTTTGGCAAATTAGTTGAAATTCTTTCAAGCATAATAAAAATGAGACGAAAAACACTTTCAATTGCTACCAGAAGAAACACACGAACGAGGTTAAGAAAATTCAAAATAGAAATAAAAAACTTTATAAATGGCCACTAAATTTAAAGTTCAAGTACAATTATTAAGATGAAAAAAATATTTGTGTAAAAATAAAACGTGTTGAAAGTAGTAAAAGAGCTCTTTAGCAGTACAATCAAGAATTTATGAAGAGTTGAAGACAAATAACAGATGAAAAAAAAAACATTTATTTATGAACGTGAAATGTCAAAAATTCAACAATCATTTATTGGATTGGTTGATGGTGAACGCAGAGTATTTGCAGATGATGACATTTGTAATAATAAAAAATGCATTAGTAGATTTATGCGAACACTTTCCTGCAGTTTGAGGATAACAAAAAAAAATACGAAAATTCTACACAGAATTTTACGAAAAAATTTCTGTTAAAGGATAAATGTTCCAAAGAGAGAGAAAGCTTTTAATAAAGAGTGAAATTTTCAAAAATTTTCTTTAAATTAATTTCCAAAATTCTGATCTCATTAACTGCCGGGCACTATAATAATATTCTTTAAAGAGTTTAACTGGGCAGAAATCGGAAGGGGGTAAAGAGTTTACTTACTGCTGTTTTACACTTTTCATTTTTCATTGTAACACAATGACAAAAGCTACTTGTACAATAAAAAAGAAGTTGAAAGAAAAAACTCAACAATTGTTGTCATGATACGACTGATATATGAAGGCATGATGTATATTAGGGTGATACTTATTCTCTGCTATAAAATGAAAAAATTGGAACAAGATCTTTGAGCTTGATTTCAAATTGGAAAGGTAATTTGGTAATACTGAATGAAATTCTTTATGGTTTATTCTAAAAGTTAAAAACCACCACCCTAATCTACAGATTAAAAAAACATACACAATAAAAAAATCATCAACTATATATTTTCATCGTATTCATTCATTATTACCAACGTTTATCACTGGCACATAAATGTCTGCCACAAAATTGTAAAAAATTAAAAGCGTTAAAAGTTAAAGAAAAACGTTTATACACTTAAACACACACACATAGTTTCAAATACATTAAACTTAAATTCCTTTTCATACTAAAAGTATGCTACTAAATACCACTTTTATTAACAATCGTCATCTCTCTCTCTTTCATTCCTTCAAACACACACATAACGTGTTAAAGGAACAATAAAGTTTATTCTTTGAAGAAAAAAAAAAAGGAAATTAAAGTTTTTCAAGATTGCAGTAATAAAAACCAGAAAAGAAAGACAGACAAACAAAAAGTCAACATAAAGAATTTCCATTTCATTGTATTAAAGTTATAAAAATAAGAAGGTATTTTTGTACACAAAAAGAGAAAACTTTGTAGAAATAAAAATGTACAAAAATAAGAAAAAAAAAACAGAAATAGTATCATGTATTATCTATCTGGCTTAAGGAATTTTCGCATTTTTCTTGCTGTTTGCGTTTGTACAGAAATTGTAAGAAGAAACCTAATAAATATAAGTAGAAAATCCTTCATTTAACACTAAAAAGTTTCTTTTATTTAATAAATATTTTTGCTTTTAATTATTGTAGTTCATAACTGAAATTTCCGGTTAAAATTTAAAAACAACGAGAAATTTGCGAAATTTTTCTATAAAAAGAGAAATTGTCAGAAAATATTCTATATAAAGAGAATATTCAAACATTTTTTATAAAACAGATATATTTTCAGAAATTTTCTATAAAAGAGAAAATTTTCTATAAAAAAGAGAAATTTTCCTAAAATTTTGTACAAAAAGAGAAAATTTACCAAAAATTTTGTGTAAAAAGAGAAAATTTTCTATTAAAAGAGAAATATTCCGAAAATTTTGTATAAAAAGTAAACATTTTTTATAAAAAAGAAAAATTTCCCAAAAATTTTCTTAAAAATAGAAATTTTTACGAAAATTTTGTATAAAAAGAGAAAATTTTCTATAAAAAGCGAAATATTCCGCAAATTTTGTATAAAAAAAAAATTTTTCGAATATTTTCTATAAAAAAATAATTTCGAAAATTTTCTATAAAAAAGAGAAATTTTTTTAAAAATAGAAATTTTCTGAAAATATTAAGAATTTTCTAAAAATCTTCTTAAAAAGCAAAATGTTCCAAAAATTTTCTATAAAAAGAGAAATTTTCTTAAAATTTTACATAAAAATTTAAATGTTCATAAAATTTTCCATAAAAAGTGAAATTTTTCCA